ACTCTCGAGGGCTGACGTGGGTCTGCGCTGGCTCTGGGCCCCGTGAGAGCCAGCAGCATGGCACCCAGAGAACACGGAAAGTGCCTCGGGCAAAACAGGAGGCAGGGGCTGTGCCGGCCTCCTCTGAGAGGGGTGCTGCCTGGCCGGGATGCTCCAGGGTTCCTCACCGTGAAAGAACAGTGGGGCGATGCACAGAGGAACGTGAGAACTGAAGTAACCTCACAGTCAGTTCGGGCATTTCATTTTACAGAGGAGGAAAATCAGACACAGAGAAGCGAAGTGGTTTATTCAGTGTAACGAACAATGGGGTTTCAGAGCTGGAACTGGAAAGTGCTCTTTTCGTTAGAGCATTTCTAAGGTCTCTTTCAGCCTTTAAATCTTATGCTTATAAAAGCAATTTATAAATAGAAAGGGGTGCTAGAAGTTTCTAAATAGCACCACTCACCAAACACTGCTATTTAAAGAGAGAACTAATTGGAATTCATCATTCTCACAATTCAGAGGCCCCACATTAATTTTGTGCATTGGAGCAAAACCCGTACGGCAGATCATTTGAATGCAGGAGAGCAGTCAGATGGATGGCGTCTTCAGATCTTCAAGAACGTTCAAGAACAGGGTCAGAATCCTTTCCTTACGAACGTTTGCAGGCTGGATTTACACTGATGTCCCTGCTCCACAGTAATAGGATTGGTTGAGAATTTCCCCCCACATCCCCCTCCACCAGCTCAAGAAGGAAAACAAATGTGCTGACAGCAGCCCTGCTCTGAAGTCAATATCTGAGAATTGTGCAAAAATAGCAACTGATTGCTCTCCTGAGTGATGTGCTCACTGAAAATGAGCTTCCCTCAGGCCAAACCAGGGCAGGCCACAGGGTCCGAACTGCGCTCGAGTGTGTCTGACACCGTAAGGGAGGCGGCTGGAGAGGAAGGCCTGTGGGTGCACCCACCTGCCAGCTGCCACCAGATGTGGTCACAGACCGAGGCTGGGCTGCTGCTGGAAGCTGCCAGCTGTAGGGCAGGGAGCGTATTCCTCCAGAGAGAGCAGGAGGGGAGGGCAGTACGCCCATACCCGCCCCACCGCTTTCCTCTCTCTTTTCTCTCTCTCAGACCGTCCAAGTGCCCTCCTTTCTCTTTTCCTTGTCCTCACTCCTCTTCCTCCCTCTCTGCCCCTCTTTCTACCTCTTTCATATTTCCACCTCTTGCCCTAATCCTCAACCCCAACCTTAGTCCGTTTATTACTGGATACATGGAAATGAAGGCACTTAAAATCAGTATAAGTCAATCATTTCAATGCCTCAAAAAGACTAGTCCTGTGGTAACAAGTGGGGTCTGTCCTTTCCCCCTAAGAGGCTGCAGTGAGTCCGAATGGTCGTGGGCTGTCCAGCCTGGGGTCAGGAACCACCAGCCCAGGAAAGACACACCCAGCCCCACAAAGGCAGCAGCATCCGGCTCCCTGGTTCCCTGGGTGGCCAAGCTTCACCATCATCGGAATTTAGTAATACCAACTCCAAGCTTCATTCTCAGTTGAAATGGTAAATGGAGCATGTGTAGGATGTATCCTTCTACTCTGAATATACAGAGTGGGTAGAAATACTGGATAAAATATACAAATACATATATGTACGTGTGCCAAATAAATAAATATAGTATGTATGTATGCTATAGAACACAGTCAAATTCAAAAGGAAGGAATAAAATCTTGAGAGTGAGACCTTCAAGGACACAGGTGGGAGAAGCATTGAAGCCAGGTAGCTCTCAGGTGTGCTGGGTGGAGGGACATGCCTCAGAACGGGAGCTCTGCAGATGAAGCCCCTGCCCCTACTCAGCAGGTGTTGGAATTGGACGCCCTGCGTAGAGCCCAGAGAAAGCCAAGTGCCCCCTCCAACGAGGGACCAGAAAGCCCTACCCCAGGGCTGTAAAGCTCCCAGCATTTCTTCCAGTAACCTTTGAAGCTGATCAAGCTATAACTCCAGTAATGGACCCTCTCTGAAGGTTTTAATCCAGGCAAATGACAGAACCAGAGGAATTTTGCAATGAAACCTGCTTTAATCCTGTACTTTACATCTCACGTTAGCAAATAAGCAGTTCGCATAGAAATAGACGTTTGGTTTTTAAAGCCGAATCTTTGGAATTTTGCCTGGAATCATTCTTTTATTTGCCCAAAGCCTGTCCCAGACGTAGGTCATATGTGTCCAACAGGCACCCATTATTGGTTTTTACGGATGTTAATTAACAGCTCCATTGTTGGCAGGCCGTTTAGAGACACTCAGCTGGCAACACCGCTGCTTCACTGGAGTCATGGGTGTGTTTGAGCCTCCACTGAGGGCTGTAAAGTCTTGATGGAGTGGCGGCACCGTCGTGGGACTCAGGCGCATTTAGATTTTGTAGCATGTGCATGAACAACTGCCCCTGTCCTGTTCTTATTTTTATTCTAACCCTTTCCATACCCCCGGGGAGAGCCACCTCCAGAATAACGAATCCATTTATCAGCCAAGTCGCTGAAATATGGATTTACAAAGCGCTGTTCCATTCCCTCAGATAGTAATGCCTTCCATTTGTGTAGAATTTTGTAAGTTTACAAAACACTTTCAAGGTCCTGGGATAACCCAGTTCCCAATTACCTACCTCCTCCTGAGGAAGGTAATAGGGCCAGAGTTTCCATCACAAATGAGAAAAAGAAGTTCAGGGAAGTTTGGTGACTTGCTCAAAGTTACACAGAAGAGCTGGGGCTTGAGTCCAGGTGTTTGGTCCACTACACCAGGTGTCCCGTGGCCTCTCTTTCCAATGACCATGACCTTTCGTTATCCCTGTCTTGATGCTGTTGACTTTGGCTATCCTATATTCTTTTTTTCTTTATTGTGGTAAAGTATACATGATATAAAATTTACCATTTTAACCTTTTTTTTTTTTTTTTTTTTGGTAAGGAAGATTCGCCCTGAGCTAACATCAGTGCCAATCTTCCTCTATTTTGTATGTGGGTTGCCGTCTCAGTATGGCTGCCTATGAGTGGTCCACGCCCGGGAACCGAACTCGGGCTGCCAAAGCAGAGTGCGCTGAACTTAACCACTAGGCCATGGGGCCAGCCCCCTATATTAACTACTTTTAAGTGTACAGTTCAATGGCATTAACTACATTCACATTGTACTGCAACCATCAACACCATCCATCTCCAGAACCTTTTCCTCATCCCAAACTGAAACTCTGCACCCATTAAACAATAACCCCCTGTCCGTCTCCCCCACCCAGCCCCTGGTAACCACCATTCTACTTTCCGTCTCTGTGGATTTGACTACTCTAGGTCCCTTATATAAAGAGAATTGCACACTCTTTGCCCTTTTGCATCTGGCTTATTTCACTTTGCACAATGTTTTCAAGGTTCATCCATGTTGTGGCATGAGTCAGAATTTCAACCATTTGTAAGGCTGAATAGTATTCTGTTATATGTATAGACCACATTTTGTTCATCCATTCATCTGTTGATGGTGCCATGACCTCTTACCCCCTTCTTTGGGAAGTAGCACTTCAATTTCCCTTTATGAAATTATCTGTTTCCACTGGGTAAAGCCTCGTGGAAGAATTAATTAAGATGTTCAGGGCTGGCAACAACCCAAGCAGCTGCTGTCTCCTAGAATTTGAAACCCAGCAACGTGATAAATAGATTAAAAATGGAATAGGCTTTTAAAAAACCTAGCTATAAGCAGGGAAGACTGAGTGGTAGCTTTGGCTGCACAGAGATGTTCTAGTTCTTATTAATTCTCAAGACTGGTCTTCCAGCTTCCCTTTGACTATACGACTTACACCACAGCCAATAGTAGATTCTGTTGCTAGAAACCAAAGAACTCTAACATCCTTCAAAACGACGTGGGGGTACCCCCTTCCATGGCCTCCATCCTGGCTATGGGAGTGACTTGTTTCCCCTTAAAGAAGGGGTTCATTACTTATTTTTATATTATTTACCTACGTAGATCTGTGGGGACAGCATACAAGGTATGGGGGGTGGGGAGAAGGAAAAATAGGAATTCATTACCATCTCTCTGTCCTTAGATGAACTTGAATTTCCTTAAAGAACCTGCTTATCTTCACCTTTGCTTATTTTTATGTCAAACCTAGTTCTAATGCATAAGGACTTAATTGTCAGTATTCAGCGACTTTAGAATTCCCTCCAATCTGGTCTCTCCAAATTCTTGGGAGTCTTTGAAATGTGTTTACAGAATGACCTGTTTTCGTACATGCTTTACAGTACCAAATACTGATAGTCATGCTCCCGTTTTCACCTACAAAAAAGTCCCATTTCTCTCAAAATATTCACTCATTAAACAAATAATTATTGAACACCTCAGATACACCAGGCACTGACATAGGTTCTGGGAACCTGGGACAGGCATGCTCTCACTCTCATGAAGCTGACCTTCCAGGGGGAGAAACCAAAATAATTAACTCATCAGACAAAACTATGAAAAGTCCTAATTCAGCTAAGTGCTCTGAGAAACCATGAAGGAGGATTTCGCCTGGTCGGGGTGCAGAGAAAGCTCCCTGGGAGATTGAAATGAGCTATAAAAGACAAGTAGATGTCACCTAAGTGGAGTAGAGGGGGCTGAGGAGGAAGGGTCTGGCAGCAGAATAAGCAAGAGTTCTATAGCTGAAGACAGTCTGGCCTCTGTCTCATGAAATTTCAGAATTCCATCCTTATTTTACCTAATAGTTTTCACGTAGATGTTCTTGTCGTGAGTGCTTTAACACACCATATCCAGTGCTGAACTCACAGCAGGCCTGTTAGACCATGAAGACCAGGTTTGGGCTGGTCCCAGCCCCCGCGGCTCATTTCTGGCTCCATCCCCTTCCCGTCCCTGAACACCATCCACATGGACTCCACAGACAGGGTCAGCCAGTGGGGCTGAGAAAGGAGGGGCTGAAGGAGCTCCAGGCTCGAGTGGGTGTGGTGGTGGTTCAACCCTGACCTTGTGCTTGGTTCTCACATTCAGGTCGCTCGGACGGGACTGCTTCACCCCAGGCCTGGTGACAGCTCCCTCTCTGCAGACCTTGCTGGTGCAGGCAGCAGCCCCGCCCCGGATCCCAGCAGCCCTCTGTCTGCAGCCACATTGCCCGAGGTCGCGCTCTGCTGGCCTGAGTTTGGAACCTCTGTTTCCTACTCTGTTTCCCACTGGAACCTCTGCCCCTGGCAGGACAGTACCCTCTGCTTCCAGCCGTTTGCAGTGACCGCCCCCTGGTGGTTACGGCCACAGTCGTGGTCCGGCTCCCTAGGCCAGCTCTGGGGGCGTGTGGCCCTCAGCTGCTCCTTTGTGGAGCGGACGTCCAGTGCAGAGTTCTGGCTCCTTCCAGTCTTCTACAGCTAACCAGGCCATGCCCAGGTCACACCTGACCCTGGGCTGAAACACAGCAAGGCTCTCCTCTCCCCCCGGTCCAGGGCCCTTCACTCTCCATCTGGTCCTAGAAGTAGTAAACAAAACTAGCTAGTTAACTGGGATTTGTGAACTCCGATTCAGATGTAAAAGTAATTCGTGGTTAGAGAGCGATCATGTTTTCACCACTTGAGGAGCACTGTCGCCCTCAGTTTGTATTTCCTCGGCTGGTCAAGAAACGTTCATAATGAAGCATCTTCAGCCTGATGAAACTGCACGGTCTACAGACTGACAGAGACCGTAAGTCGCAAACCAAGTGGTCGGGATCCACGAGGATTAGACCAGGGTCTGACCAGCTCTCCCCCATCCCCTCCCTGATCTTGGCCAGGATTCCTGCAGGAAAGGCTGCACACGGTGCTATTTCTCTGCTCAGCTCTCAGGGCTCCTCTCCCCCACCCCAGGGCTCCCCCACCCCAGGGCTCCCCCTCCCCAGAGCACCCCCACCCCAGGGCAGTTGGGAAGGAAAAATCATGACTTCTTCCCAATACTGAGCAGCCCTGAGTGAGGAAACACCCACTCAAAAGGAGCCACGTCCCAGGCATCTCACAGTCCCTGGACCAGGGGACCCTACAGTGAGCACTAGCCCACATGTGGTCAATGCTGGGGACGCCTCGCCAGGCTGGACTTCTCTTCTCTGCCCCTGCTCTTTGGCACACACAATTTGAAGAGAAGATAAGATGAGTCTGTCCTAATGTTCCTGTTCCCTGCCACCAACCCGGACAAAACCACTCAGCCATTTCCTTGAAAACCACAAAGGTGGCAGGAAGGACAAGCTGGGAAAAGGCGCCAGGGACCCTGAGCTGTCAGGCCACCTCGCATGACACTCAGCGTCTGTAACCTGATACAGTCCCCGTTATCTGACCACCTCATCTTACTTAGCAGTACTCAGCGACAGAAAGGCGTGTGCAGGTCCCCGGGGAGCCCAAGGTAGTGGCTCTGAGTACAGGCTGTTCTGACGGTATCTGAGAAATACCTAAGGGTGGGGGAGACTGGGGGTGGAGAATGTCTGATGATGCAGATATAACAAAAAACCCAGAGATCAGCACACTAATAAAATTACTATGTAAAACACACCGAAGAATAAAGAATCAAAGAAGAACGAGCCTCCCCCACCCCCACTCCTGACGAGGTGCCCACACGCTGGGACAGTCATTACTGCGGGCCCTGGGTCCGGTTCTACAGAGGGAGCTTAATAGCGTTTTCAAAGAATCTGTCTCCACCTCCTCAACTTTGGTGAGCAGATGTAATCAGGATGGGAAAACAGACAATTATCTGCCAACACCATGACGCTCTGAATGCAAATGTAGGTCCCCACCCACCCCGCCAAGATGTTGAATGCAGCTCATTACTCTCATTTCCACGGAGGAGGACGTGGGGTTGTGGGAACTGGTCCCACTCAAGATTCTACTTTCCCATTAGCTTCAAGCCTCTTGCTAGTCGCTTCAGCAGTGCCCAAACCCTGGTGAACAAACTCCCTGGAGCCAGCCCAGGGCACCTCCAGGCAGCCTCTCAGTGAATATTTTCCATCTACCGCAAGGCAGAGAGAGCACGGAGAGCAGAACGGGCCTGCGATGACTGAATGAGGTCACACAGGGTTTAGGCTTGGTGTGCCCCTCAATCTGGCCACTTCGGATGTGTACATCACTTCACAGCTTGAAAAGTGGGGGATAGCTACAGAAATATTTGCATTTTAAAATCCCATGCTGCCATTTTTAAGGTAAACCCTGCTAGAGAAATGTCACAGTTTGCAAACTCAGGCTGTAGAGGATTTGAGAAGTTGTTAAAAGAAAGGAAGCTTTTCTTACAAAACATTCACTTTCAAGGATGTGATTATTTAATCCAGGAAAGCTCCATTCAGATAAAAATCAGGTCAAGAATAAATACCCGAATGGGGAAAGTCCACGCTGTAAAATAAATACCTATGAGGCCAAGCAGAGGTTAATGGAGATCAGAAATTCCCGGAGGACGGGAAAGGAAATGAGGCTGTGAAATCTACCTTGAATCAAACAGCTCACAGAAGACAGCGAGCATCCCCAGACGGAACAGACTTCAGGACTAGAATGCACTGCATCAGCCACGCTCCCCAGGGTCTCGGCTTCTTTAAGGAGCCGCCCTGGACACAACTCATGCACCACCACCTCGGGCTGAGCCAAGAGGTCAGAGGGACCTCTGCTTAGAAGTCATCTTCTTTCATGAGTGCCAGTAAATTCACCAGTTCCTGAAGAATGGACTCATCCTCCCGAAAAGGGAAACATAATCACAATAAGGTTTTATTAAATCTGTCTCCGTGCTCATAAATACATTTCCCTTTCTAGAATTCCAGTCTGCCTCTTTCCCACCCGTCAACCTAGCCTTATGTTTTTTCAGGCTTTCCTGATCTTTTTCCATGAGGGAAACACCACCTTGGGATCATTTCCACCTTGCTTTATATTTTATTTATTTGTATGAATTTGTATGATTTCATTTTGCTTCTATTCTTTCATCATCTTTTTTCCATTCTCCTACACTTAAAAGCTCTCTGAAGTGTCGGACTGAGAGTCTGCTTTTCCTTCTGTGCTCCGTGGTACCATCCTACAAATACAACGGGCTTACAAAATATTCTCACGGAATATTGAACGTATAAACCTTAAACCCCTGATGAAATCTCTGTTCTAAGTTATTACTGAAAAGATTCCTTTCAGATACAAAATCTTGAGAAAAATAGGAAAAATGTCCCCTTCCATTCTAGACTCGTGACCTCAACTGTCCACTTTCTCACGATAGAGTAATAAAAGTTAGACGTGGTGGAGTCCTGGTGGGTGAGGCCACCCCCTTCTTCACAGATCTTCTTAAATGAAGACTCCACCCACGGGAACTCACCTCTTCATTCCCGTTCTAGAACGAGCTTGGAACCCAGACAGGCAGCATCTGTTCCGGCCCTTGCACCTTATCCTTGTTCATAAGGTCCAGAACACAGGGTCTTCAGGACCCTCCCAGGTTCAGAAACCCCAGTTACTCACAGCATTCGCATCACTTGTCCTGCAACCAGCCATGTTTGTCTCCCGCAATGTACTCACCCAAGCACAACGTCTGAATATTTCTTCACTTAGACTGTAGCGGGTTTTTTTCTTTAAGAGGTGGAAAATATATGAAATGAAGGAGATCAGAATATGCCACCCCAACACAGACCACTTTGGCATAAGGATTATTTTGAGCTGAAAACAATTGTGAAAAAGCAGACGCAGGAAACGCTGTCTGCCCTCCCCCCATCTACCTGAAGCAGGGCGTCAATTCCCCTTGTGACGGTGTCCCCGTCCTCTTTCCTACCAGGAAGAGGAGAATAGCCCTTATCACCATCACAGGAGACAGACAGCACCCAGATGAGTCTGCATAACAAACCTTGCTAAACAATTCTGACCTACCATTAGTTTCCCTGTTATATTTACCTTTGCAAAATTTACCATCCCTAAAAGCCCAAATCCCCTTTCCTTTGCCTAGTCACTTCTCCACAATTTATTGCCTTTTGTTAAAATAGTCTATAAGCCCCAGAGTCTGCTTCTTTGGGTTTTCATTTCTTTTCTTGGAGCACAGTGCACATAAAATTAAAAAAATTTTGTGCCCTTTCTCCTGTCAATCCATCTTTTGTCAGTTTAATTAACATGCCCCAGGTCCAGAAGCTGAGAAGATAAAGAAAAAGTTTTTCCTACTGTACAGAAATAAGATGAAAAACATCTTCACCTAATTTTTGTTTCTCAGTCATGGATCAAATTAAAACTTTACATCTGCCACATAACAGAACAACACAGGAATAAGGAATAAAAGAAAAGGAACTCTGGCTTCAGGGTTTTTAGGAGCTAAAAGTAGAAATTGTGGATGACACATCCAAGTACTGGCCCCAGGGACTCTCCTAGCCCATGATGTCAGCTCCTCGTTAAGTGGTCAGATCATCCCACAAGAAGGCTTCATTTTATAAGATATGAATTCATTGTTTCACTGAGTTTAATCCGAAACACTTGAGTCAGTACATTTCTGATTTTCAGTTCCTACAAAAATGTTAGTTCATGCTCACAATTCAGCTTTTTTCTTATTAGATTAATTTGTTGGTACCTGCTCTCTCTCTTAAGTTTTCAACTACAAAGTGTTTTTTCTCCTTCAGATCCCAGGTACACACTTTGGAAAGGATTACAGAAATTCTATGATTCACTCAAAAAATTATAAGGCAGCGGTGGCACAGCCACTGCCTTTCAGTCACACAATGCAGCGTAGGCCCCGGGGGAATGGTGCTCTAGGGGTCACGTTTAATGAACTTTCTGAATACAATGCGCTTGGACCAGGGCCTGGGCCAGGCCACACCCATCTGAGTGGTGGTCTGACGGCTCTGGCTCCACTCCCATCGCTTGGGCCACAACCCTGGGCCAAGAGACAAGCCCCCGGCATCAGATTTTGTGTTGCCTGACGAGCCAGGACACCTGGCTCCTGTATTCTTGTTGGTGGGGTGAATGGGCCAACTCAGAGATCAGCAAAGACTAACAGTTATTACAACTTGGTTTCAGCCTCACCATAAACCGGTGTGTTATTTCTCCAGGACATAAGACAGTTCATACAGTCATATAGTGA